AAGTCCCTATTACATTCTAAATACATCATCATCAAAATCTATAATATTTTTCCCAACAATTTCCCCCTTTTTGATGATGACAAACAAGTGTTTAAGAGTTCCGGTCGCTGTACTGAGAACTAATTTTATAACTTTCTTTTAGTTTCTCATAATATACAGCTTGTTAACAAAAACTCTTAAGCAAATACAATTCAAATTACAATAATTCCTAAACCAAGTCTTGTCTTGAGATTTTGTGATATCTTCCGCCATTGACCGTTTTCAGCTTCAGCAGATTCTGCTTGGCGGAGCAGTTGGCGTTGCGTTTGATAGATCTCTATTATCCAAAGTGGATAACCAAGATCTAGGAAGCAACACATCTCTCAAAGACTAAAAATAAAAATGAAAGAAGAAAACAAAAGAGAGATAAAATGACAAGAAAGAAAAGGTTTTGGAAAAGAGAATTGATTGTGAAAAAGATAAAATAAAGATTTTAAAGATGAAGGAAAAAGACAAAAAAATTTAAAAGAAATTTTGAAAAAGAGTTCAAAAAAAAAATTTTGAGAACTCCTTGAGAGAAGGGAGCAGAGGCACCACCCAAAAAAAAAACTTGTAAGAAAATTGGGGGGACTGCTAACAAAAGATTTAGAAAAAGTAAAGAAAGGAAAGGGGATGGGAAAGAGATCAAGGTAAGAATAAAAAGAAAAAATAGAGAGAGTGTTGTTCCAGAGAAAGTGTATGGTATAATCCTGAAAAATACGAGAATTACACCATAAACTTTCTCTACTGCCGAGAATTGCACCATAAACTTTGAATTACTTTCTTTCTCACTAGGCTTTTCTCCATTGCCGTCTATGAGGGTGAGAAAGAGAAATTTCTCCATTGAGGATATTTCTCCATGGGGGAGACCTAAAGTCCCTATTACATTCTAAATACATCATCATTAAAATCTATAATATTTTTCCCAACATCAACGGTAGGTGCCTGCAAAAATTGAGACAATACATGGACAGAGTATGCCAAATCAGGACGAGTGATCGTCAAATAAATGAGGCGACCGACTATGCGCCGGTAGCGAGAAGGATCACGCAAGAGGGCACTCTCCGAACGGCCAAGATTATGGTTGGGCTGAATCGGCGTGTCGACTGGTTTACATCCCAAGAGGCCGGCCTCGGCTAAAATGTCCAAGGCATATTTACGTTGACACAGTACCATTCCGGTCGAGGAACGCGCACATTCAATTCCAAGAAAGTAAGTCAGCGGCCCCATATCTTTCAAACGAAAACAATTATGCAAGTAACGTTTGAAAGACGAAAGCAAAGTGAGATTATTGCCTGCAACAAGAATATCATCAACATATACCAGAATTGCCAAAGTATCCGGGCCACGGCGAAGGAGAAAAAGGGTATGGTCTTTGTGTGCCTAACGAAACCCATACTGACGAAGTGCCATAGTCAATTTTGAGAACCAATTACGAGGAGATTGGCGCAACCCATAAAGTGATTTGCGGAGACGGCACACCTTGCCAGGATAAAGGTGAGTATATCCAGGGGGCACACGCATATAAACTTCCTCGTTCAAATCACCATGAAGAAAAGCATTATTAACATCAAGTTGATGTACAGCCCAGTTTCTAGCAACAGCAACAGACAGAAGAATACGGACAATACCCATTTTGGCAACCGGAGCAAAAGTATCTGTAAAATCAGTGCCCATCTCTTGATGATTTCTTAGAACCACCAATCTAGCCTTATCACGCTCCTTAGACCCATCGGAGCGGAATTTGGTCTTATAGACCCATTGACACCCCAAAGCATGGCGACCTTTAGGAAGGTCGATGATATCCCACGTATGATTAGCTTCCAATGATGTGATCTCCTGCTGCATGGCAACACGCCATGTTGCATGTTGTACGGCCTCTCGAAAAGAAGTGGGCACCTCTGTAGAAGTAATAGCGGCTAGAAAACCCCGGTACCTGTCATGAAATTTATCATAATTCACGAAGTTAGTGAGAGGAAACCGAGTCCCAGAGCGCACAGATTTTCCAGGTGTACCAATAATGGAATCATCAGAATGGACAATGTTACACACATAGTCCGACAAACAAGGAGGGGCACGCCTAACACGCTGAGGCCGCGAAGCAGTCGGGGCAATGGGCGGCGTGACGGACGGGGTGAGGCTGGTTTGGACAGTGGGCTGTTCGGCAATAGCCAGCGGCTGTTCGGCAGAGGGCTGTGCGGTAGAAGGCTGTGCGGTAGTGGGCTGTGCTTCAGTGGGTGTAATATGGTCAGCATGGGGGTTTGGTAAGGCGGCAGTAACATGGGTTTGATCAAGGAAATCAGCAAAAGGAATTGTGGTGTGTTGTTGGTGACCGGGCTGTGATGGTAAGGAAGTATTTGGAGATAGAGCAAACGGAAAAACTGTGTCGTCAAAGGAAACATCTCGAGAATGGAACAAACGGTGAGACTCAAGATCATAAACGCGCCACCCTTTAGTGCCCGTAGGATAACCAAGAAAAACACATTTCGTGCTACGAGGGGCAAATTTATTTGGTGGACGCTGAACAAGACGAACATAACACAGACACCCGAAGACACGGAGATGACCAACATCTGGAGGTTTTGAATTCATGATATCATACGGAGTTTTCCCCCCAAGAATAGGTGTAGGTGTCCGATTTATAAGATAGACAGCAGTACGAACACATTCCCCCCAAAAATCAATAGGTAAAGATGCTTGAAACATGAGTGAACGAGCCACATTAAGAATATGACGGTGTTTACGTTCGACGCACCCATTTTGTTGGGGCGTGCCGACACAGGACGTTTGAATGGAAACACCCAACTCACAATAAAACTGACGTAGTGGTCGATTTAAGAATTCTGTGCCGTTATCAGAACGAACGGTTTTAATGGTTTTACCAAACTGAGTACGAATAAAAGTGAAGAATTGTTTTAAACAACTTGTCACCTCACTTTTATCGATTATCAAATACACCCAAACGACACAAGAATGATCATCAACAATTGTCAAAAAATAATGAGCTCCAGTAAACATACAAGGCGAATACGGACCCCACAAATCACAATGAATTAAGTCAAAAATAGCATCTGCTTTATTTAAACTGGAAGGAAACACAGAACGAGTTTGTTTAGAGTAAAAACAAATCTCACATGACTCTAATTTTTAATTTGAGAAGATGTTCTATTAAACGGAGGAAAAGACAAAACATTATGGGATGGATGACCAAGTCTCTTATGAAGAAGAGTATCTCGATCGACGCACGATGCTGAAGCAATCAGAGACGGACTCAAGACATAGACTCCATTATTTGCATTACCCCGTCCAATCTCCATTCTCGAAACACGGTCCTGCAACACACAACAACGATCATCAAAAATTACAAGACAGTTATTGCCTCTAATAAGGCATCCAACAAAAATCAGATTACACTTTAATTCTGGAACAAAGAGCACGTTCCGAAGAATCAAAGTGGGTGACAACATCACTTTGCCACACATTTTAGCGACCACAGCCGAACCATCGGGAAGAGTAATTTTGCATGGCGAGATAGACAAAATATCAGAAAGACATGCAGAGTTACCCGTCATGTGGTGTGAAGCACCACTATCAACAAGCCAATCATTGGACGACGGTTGCGGCATACCATTAAGCTTACCGGCAGTAGGTGTTGTATCAAGCATAAATAGAAGACGAGAAACCTGATCTGGAGTCAAAGAGGCTGCCGAAGCCATCCCGGAGTCAAATTGGGCGTCGAGACCAGCACCAGCTGCCTGGGCAGTGCCGACTGGCTGCTGAACACCCTGCTGGACATCTCGCCCCCCTCTGCCGGATCTTCCTTTGCCTCGGGTAGTACTGCCACAGCCACCACGTCCCCCTCGGCCACCCCTTCCACCGTTAGGGAAGCCAATAAGCATATAGCAACGATCAACCGTGTGTCCCGATTTTCCACAATGGGTGCACTGGTAAGTGTTGGGCGGCGGTGGAGGAGGTCGTGTGACTGCGAATGCCATGGCATCTGTACGATCATTCCTGGCACGAACAATAGAATGGTGATGTTCTTCCTGGGTGATCAAAGAATAGGCTCTGTTGATATCGGGGATAGGTTCTGTCCCAAGAATTTGAGACCGAATGCCCCCATACTGCTCGTCGTCCAACCCGAGCAAAAACGTATGGGTCTTCTCTTTCTCGACGTCATCACGAAGAAGCACGGCTGCTCCACACCGGCAGCCCCTTGTCGGGTCTCTTCCCCCATACAACTGATTCCAGAGAGTGATGAACTGGTTGTAATAAACCTCCACGGACTGCCCCTTTTGACGCAAATTTTGCATCTCGGTCTTCAATTGATGAATCCGCAGTCCGTTGGAACCCCCCTAACGTGATTTCAAATCCGACCATAATTCATGAGCAACACAATGAGAAATGATGCTAGGTTGAACAGATTCATCCACACTGTTCAAAATCCACGAACAAATAATCGAATTATTGGACTCCCACGCCGAAAGTTCCTGTTCCTTAGTCGGTTTCGGCATGCCTTCGGTGGTCAGAAATTTGGCTTTCCCACGGCCCTTTAACGCATTACAGATCGCCTTCTCACAGGTGTGAAAATTTTCCCCACGCAAGAGATATTTGGTGAGAGAATTACCTGGGCCTTCAGACGGATGAAGGTAATATGGTGAAGACGGATCATGAATTGGTAGAGTTGGAGTCTTCTTGCTTGTGTTGTCTGCCATTGTGTCGAACAAGAAGCAGAAGAACAGCACCAGCGTTCTTCGCACAGAGATGAAGACGAAGAACGTGAGAGGCAGCGGCTAGGTTACGCGACTTACGCGTTTTGCTCTGATACCATGTAAAATTTTGGGAAAATAACGTTCTCGGCTTTTCTGTTGATTTCCACAAGTATATATAGAGTACATAGACTATCTACACATGGCCCGATAGTAACAAGAAAAGGCCCAAAACACGTAAACACAAAATACAACAAATATGGGTCAATTAACATATATGCAAATATATTAGAAAACAAAACATGCCCAAATCAAAATATATCCAAACTAGAATACATCCGAAACTAGAATTAATTTGAATCGGTTGACATGTGAATCGGCCCAAAACCAAACTCACCCGAAACCGAACCAAAATTGGAAAATGTATAAAAGGGAATTAAATGCGAACAAAAATTTAACCGAACTGATCCGATTATAACATATATCTGAACTAAATTTATCCAAACTAGAACCAAATATAGATTAGATAATGAGAACACTGATAACACATTTAAAATAAAACCCATGTAGTATTCTCATAGTGGGTGAGTCCAGTACCATATCTGATACGATCAAGTACCGGATTTGGGGAGACTTCGAGCGTCTCCAAGCTCCAGAAATTGAGAAAAGGGAAGAGAACAAATCACAGACAAGAGCTGTGCGCCACAAGAGGAGAAGTAGTTTGCAATTGGGAGTTTATTTCATACGTAAATTGCATGGGGTACATCTCTTTTTAAAGGAGAATCCTAGCAGAATCCCAGTCCTAGTTAACTACGTTTTCTATCCTGACGGTTCAAAAAAAGCGACGAGGTAAAGAACCGTAAAGAAACCCTCGAAGGAGCTTATATTTTCGCTCACCTAAAAACACTATTACAATAATTAAAATGACAATAATAAATAAAAGATAATAATCACTGGAGAATATAATCCCCATGCCACGCTGGAGCCTTCCGATCACGCCGGCGCCGAGCTACGCTCGTCCCCGGCTCCTTGTCACTTGTCTCTGCTATTTCCGTCTCGTGCGCATCCTCGACCTGCATGTCTCCTGACCCGTCCTCCTGGTACACCGTATCACTCCCGCCTGCTTGAGAAAACACCTTGTCTTCAAGCTGTATATCCGGGTAATAACGTTGAACCACCTCGCATGGCTCCCATGTTGCGTCATCCCTTGTACCGTCGGACCATTCAACCAAATATTGCTGGACGAGCTTTCCCCGATGTAAAATCTTTCGACTGGCGTGCACCCTCACTGGCTTGGAGATGGGTTGGCCCCTAACGAACTCATCCTGCAGAGAGTGGTGGCTTCCCTCCTGTACCGCACCATAGTAAGGGCGATGGAGTGCCACATGAAAAAATGGGTGGATTCGAGACCCTTCCGGCAGCTCCAAACTGTATGATACATTTCCCACGCGCTCCAGTACCCGGAACGGACTGTAATAACGACGTGCAAGCTTCTGTGTCCTCCGTCGGGCTACCGAGTGTTGGCGATATGGTTGGAGCTTCAACAAAACCAAATCGCCCACACTAAACTCCATTTCCCGTCGGTGACGGTTTGCGGCAGTGGCCATCCGCTGCTGTGCCCCACCCAAGTGCTCGCGCAAGCGCCGAATCAGTTGATCCCTTTCTGTTAAGACTTTGTCAACCTCCAAAACCTTGCTTTCCCCCGGGGTATATGGCACGAATGTAAGTGGTGGCCGTCCGTACAGCGCCTCAAACGGGGTCATTTTGAGACCCGAATGGAAATGGGTGTTGAGGGCGTACTCAATCCACGGCAACAACATCGTCCATATATCGTGTGGGTTTCTCTTGGGTGTATGCACGCAGATACTGTTCCACGCTCCGATTCGTTACCTCAGTTTGGCCGTCTGTCTGGGGATGGAACACGATGCTCATCTTCAACGTAGTGCCACTGGACTTCAATAGTTCCTGCCAGAACTTGCTCAAGAACACCCGGTCTCGGTCCAAAATGATGGACTTGTTAGCCTTGGTTTGCTAAGTCTCATGTTTTGTTGTTAACAAACAATATAAGAGCTTGACGTGTGTTTAAGTGTTTCCAGGTACAACAAGAATCCATTAAAATTTGGTTCTCAAGAATGAAGTCGAAACACTAAACTAGCGTAGAATTTAGGTAGAAAACCAATGTAAGAATATGATTTTATATACCTATATTCACAAGCTCAAAAGCACTCACAAACTATGTTTAAAACCGTCCAATAAACGTTTTCAAATACCCAAAAGGTTTTAAACTCAAACACGAAGGATTACGGGAATTTCGGAAAAATCAGGACAGTGGCACGGTACCCCTAGCGGTACCCCAAATGGTAGGGTATACTGCCTACACGGTACCCCCATACCGTGTAACGATACCTTGGTACCGTACGGTAGGCTGGACGGTCAGCAACCCCCGTCCTAACTAGGTACCGCCAGAACCGAATGAAGTTTTTTGTGCTACACGGTACCGAGGTACCGCCTCTCACGGTACCCCCTACCGTACGCACGGTACCATGCTACCGTGTGGACGGCACCTACCTACCGGATCCGTTACAGCACTGTTCCTGATTGACAATTTTGAATTAAATCAACCCTAATCACCTCCCAACGGCTAATTAACATCTTCCACTATAAATACAAGCTTAATCCTTCATATTTCTTCAAGAAACAAAGCTCCAAACATCCTAATTTAATATTCTAGGTGTGTTCACTTCTTTATTAATTATTTTCTATATTTTGGCTATTTTAAGAGCCTTAAAATTCCTGATTTTTATACACACACTTTGAGCTTGTGTTTCTAGTTATATACTCTCATATTCATAAGTTTGAATTGTATTTTAGAGAGAGTATACTTTCCTTCTACACCGGCTAAGTTTTGTTCTTTACTTTTATATTCAAGCCGTTGTGTAGAACTCTTGTTTGTGTTTTTCAAACACACCTTCTTACGGTCGAGAATAGCCGTTAAATTCCCACGTTGTAACGGTTAAGGATAGCCGTATAAATCCTTGGGTAAAGGTTCAAGGATAGCCTTTGAAATCCTTGGGGGAACAGTACGAGATAGCCGTTGTAAAATCTCGGAGTGAATCCTATTGGCAAGGGTTGTTTGCCAAACTAGTGCGGTGCTTTGACGGAGTTCAAGAGACCGAGACTTAGTGGATTTGGAAATCCTTAAGGAGGAGCCTTAAGGTACTGGAGTAGGGAGTTCCTGAACCAGTATAAAATCGGTGTGCATTTACTATACGTTTTTATGTTTGCGTTTTACTTATTGCTTCCGCATTTGCCAACACCGTTTTTATCAAACTCCGAAAAGATTTTTAAACGCCTTATTCACCCCCCTCTAAGGCGTGGGCACAACGACTAAACCGACTAACAGGACTTCGGAAATCCATGGAGTTTTACTACAATATCAATGAAGAGATGTGCTGTACGAGGGGCGTCGAAATCTGCCGGCAACGCTCCAAAGTGGGCAGTTTTGGTCAGGCAGTCCACTACCACCAAAATGACGTTATTTCCTCGAGAAACCGGTAAACCAACGATGAAGTCCATGGAAATGTCCTCCCAAACATGCATTGGTATTGGTAGCAGCTGGATTAACCCCGGTGGAGGTTGGGTCGAATACTTCGTGGTTTGGCACACCATGCACGTACGAACATACTCCCGGACCTCTGCCCTCATTTGCAGCCAGAAGAAGTTTTGAGCCAGTCGGAGGAAAGTCCGTTGGACCCCTGGATGCCCTGCCTGGAGTGTGTCATGATGCTCCTTGATCAACTGTACCCGCAAAGGCGAAGTGGAGCTTACATACAGACGCCTCCCGTAATAGAGCAACCCGTCAACAATGGAATATGGTTCGGCTAGCTGACCTTTCTGGTGCGTACGGTGGTGGGCAAGCAGGTCCTCTTGTTGCTGATTTTCTTGCTTTAATTCGTCCATGAGCGTCGAAACAGGTACCGTAATTGTCAGCAGTGTGTGCATCTCTTCGGCGGGCTCGTGTATGCGTGATAAAGCATCGGCCTCCCGGTTGGACGCTCCCGTCTTGTACTCAATTTGGAACCGGAAACCCAAGAGTTTACGGATGTAGAAGTGTTGGTCGGGAGTTTTTATCTCCTGTTGAAGCAACTCCCGGAGGCTTTTGTGGTCGGTCCGGATGAGGAACTCCCGACCGAGTAGATATTGGCGCCACTTTTGTACGGACTCCACTATTGCATACAACTCTTTATGGTATGTCGATGCCGCCATTCGCCGGGGACAGAGCTTCTTACTAAAATAGGCGATGGGCTGTTCGCGTTGCAAGAGAACGGCGCCAATCCCTGTCCCGGATGCATCTGTCTCCACTACGAAGATTTCATCAAAGTTGGGCAATTGTAACACCGGGGCTGTGGTCATGGTCCGTTTCAACTTCTCGAAGGCCGCTCCTGCCTGTTCCGTCCATTTAAAGGCATCCTTTCTGTTATGACAGATGCGGGAAAGCATGAACACGAACAATCAACAATCACGAAAACAACAGAGATTTAACGTGGTTTACTAACAACCTGTTAGTAACCTCCACGGACAGAAGAGAAAAAGATTTATTGATCAGATTTTCTCACCAGATTACAGATTTTCTCTACCATGTATTGAGGAGTACAGATACAAGCTATATATATAGGGAAGGGGATATGGGTAATCCTAATCCTACTACATATATAAATATGAGACTAGGAAAGATAATCCTAATCCTATTCCTAGTCGTAATCCTAATACGTCTGAAATACAGATTCAAGGCATTTTCTAACAAATCTTCACCTTGACTTGAATCTCCTCAAAAGACAGCAGATGTACCAGATTTCCTTCAAGAAGTGACCACACGTACGATGGGTACCAAAAGTCCAACCAATGACACAAATGTCACTAAAAGATAGGAACAGATTGTTTCACTTGTGTTCAGAAGTGTTGTGACACACCAAAACAGATTTCCCTCACTCATGGGAACGGATAACTCAAGCTAAAACACCCGCAGATGCAAACTCCACCTTGAGTCCAGATGACTCTTCATGGAACCTGAACAGAAACAGATGACACCAACCTAGTGTCCAGATGACTCCTCCTAAAGCCCTGATTGCCCTTCATGGGGCCCAGATTGCCCTATACGGGCCCAAATCGCCCCCTCCCGGGGTGCAAATCGCCTCATTGAGGCGTAGAAATAGATGATTCTTCTAGGTGATCAACAGTCTCAATCTGTGCAGATGGAACCTCCACCTCAACATTAAGACTTTCATCACCTCTATGAATCTCAAATGATGCAACAATGACAGATCCATGTAGAAGATATAAGGTACCATGTTTAATACCTTTCAGAACCAACTTCGAATCCTTGTAGACACTCATAACTCCACCTTTACATTTAAAACTGAAACCCTTACTGTCAAGACGAGGCAAGGATATCAGATTCTTTGTCAAAAGTGGAACATGCCTAACATCATTCAAGGTGCAGAATGTACCATCATGAGTCCTCAACCTGATGGAGCCTATTCCAACTACCTTGCAGACAACTCTGTTGGCCATGGAAACATCACCGTCATCTATCTGCTCATAAGTTGAAAACAACTCCCTATATGGACTAATATGATACGACGCCCCAGAATCAAGAACCCACACATCCTTACAATGTGTTTGGTTATTGAAAAATAGAACCAGATCTTCTTTAGAGTTTGTATCATCAGCTTCTGCCATAGTTGCAGAACTGTGAGCATCCTCGATCTTGTCCTTTTTCTGCATCTTCTGCTTAGGACAATCAAACTTCCAATGCCTTGGTTCTTTACAATAGTTGCAGATGTCACCGGGCTTAGGACCTTTTGAACCTTTGTAGTTTGGCTTCTTCTTTCCAAAGGTCTCTGTTGTTGGAACACGGGTTTACGCCTACGTCGTACTAAACTGTGTTCGTTTATGACAGGTTTTGATAATGCCAAACCGCCGCGACATATCGAAGCTAAAGTGAGCAAAACTAAGGCGAAGGAACATGGCATGATGAATTGAGAACCAAGAACCCAGAATCAAGAACGAAGAACTAGAATTGTATTGAGTCGGTCTTAATGTGATCAAGACCAGCACAAAATTCCAAATCTTGGCTCTCTAGTCTTAATTCATAAAAATCTCTTTTACATGTTTAAAAATACTTTTCTTAAGTTTAAACTTGGGTCAAAACACTTGGAGTTCATCCAAGCCAAAAACCAAGCCATCCGGCGTTCGGTTTTCAGAAACCGGCGTTCGGCTTTCGGTTTTCGGCATTGGTTTTTGGCGTCCAAACCAACCAAGTGGCTTTCAACTTTTTATGACTGGTTTTTACTTCTGGGCATATTTAAATAGTTCTCCAACAAAAACGCCTCAAAAACCACTCTCCGTTTTTTGTCGTTTAGTGAAAACCATGCGAAACGGCGCGAACTTGGCTAGCCGTGNAGCACAAAATTCCAAATCTTGGCTCTCTAGGCTTAATTCATAAAAATCTCTTTTACATGTTCAAAAATACTTTTCTTAAGTTTAAACTTGGGTCAAAACACTTGGAGTTCATCCAAGCCAAAAACCAAGCCATCCGGCGTTCGGTTTTCAGAAACCGGCGTTCGGCTTTCGGTTTTCGGCATTGGTTTTTGGCGTCCAAACCAACCAAGTGGCTTTCAACTTTTTATGACTGGTTTTTAATTCTGGGCATATTTAAATAGTTCTCCAACAAAACGCCTCAAAAACCACTCTCCGTTTTTTTCGTTTAGTGAAAACCATGCGAAACGGTGCGAACTTGGCTAGCCGTGGTTTTCAACTAAATGACGTGGTTTTCAAGATGTTTTACTTGATTTCTTAGCAAAATGCAATAAATAAATGTTTTCTCAACTTGGTTTTTATTTTGGAGAACTTGCGTTTTTAACATCGGCTAACGGCTGACTAAACCAACCATGGGTCTGGCTAAACCAGCCTAACAGCGATGTTGGTGAAACCAACAGCGCTGTCTGGCTTGGGTGGCTGAAAACCATGGTTTGGCGTTAAGTCTTTCAACAGCGATGTTGGATGTTAGACATCTCTGTTGAGCCAAGGTTGGATTTCCAGAAACTTCTGGAACAGCGATGTAGGCTCCCCTACAGCGCTGTCCAACCTAAGCCAAAAATTAAATGCATTGGCAGAAAGTTTTTGGACAGCGATGTTGACCCAGCAACAGCGCTGTCAGGCCAAACTTCCATCTCCAAAGGTAGACCTAAACAGCGATGTTCTAGTATAGAACATCGATGTAGAGACCTGACCGTTGGAAGGAATTTAAGGCTAAAACTTTCCTTGTTTGGAAGTCAACAGCCAAAACAGCGATGTAGGGATTTTAGACATCGCTGTTGGCATGACCGTTGCTTCCCATTTTTCAAACCGCAAGCCTAGAACAGCGATGTCCAGGCCTAGGACAGCGCTGTCTAGGTGATTTTCAACAGATCCAAATTTCATCAAATCCCACAAATTATGCCAATCACCCCTTAAATACTTTGGTCCGTTGGAGCCTATTTTTCTACTATAAAATGAGGTGTTTGGGTCTGTTTTACACATAACATTACTTCACAACTCCTACTCTTTCATTGCAAATCATTCTTTAATTATTCATAGCTTTTGAGAGCCATTTTTGTGAAGCTTGTGTTGTGTTCTTGAGCGTTCTTAGTTTACTCATATCCACTCTTAAGGAGAGTCTTGTTCTTGAGTGTTTTAGTGTTGTATACACGTTAAGGGAAGCTTGTTTCCCTTGGTTGTACGAAGGAAAGGTATTTTCCTTCGGGTTGAAGTCTTGGAGTGCGGTATCTCCGAGCAAGTGTTG